GAGAGAGAGAGAGAGAGAGAGAGAGAGAGAGAGAGAGAGAGAGAGAGACCTTTTCTACCATTTAGGTCATGGTTTATTGTTGCACACACGACTGACCACTTGAATAGCCGGTTGTGGAAAGTGGCCAAACACATTGTAGCGAAGCGTTAACCCTATCTGGGGGCTCTCGTGGTCGAGAGGTGTTCGCCTCTCATTCAAAGGTCCCGGGTTCGAATCCGGGTAGGGGCAAAAAAAATGTATTCTCTAAAATTATTTCCTTTCACCTCCTTTCTTACTCTCTAGCAATGTTCTGTCGTCTGTTTTCGGCTCCACTTTCTGCCCCCTCCCCTCACCTCCTTTGCCCCCTCAACTGGGCTCTTGACTTTTTCTGCAGCCTTTCCACTGCTACTCCTTTGCTCCTTCTTACTGCTGTCTTTCAGCCACACCCCTGATCTTCTGGTAGGAAAGATCTACACCTAGCCTTCTCGGACAAGGGCAAAAAGCCTCGGAGGGCCCGTGTGCAAGTTGCGCACGTTAAAGTTCCCTTGGTGGTCTAAAATCGGTAAGAGTAGACTTCGGCCACCACCCGGGCAAAAGTCAAAATTTCCTACCAACTGAAAAAGTTTAATGTGTCCCGGCGCGCTCATATGAGCTTATGCAGTTGCGAGCGCCGTAAAACACTTATTTTTTTTATTTTTTTTTTAAAACCTATCCGTTCGTCGTGTTTTACTATCGTATCCAGACGACGTGGGGAATTCTGTGTCACCACTTTCCTAAGAGGAAATGTACCCGTTAATCCCATCCACACGCTTTGCATAGAAGCTGTCAAATGATTTTTGAGAAATACTGAAAGTTTCAAAGAGATCTTCGCACTAGAAGTAATCTAAAATACGAAAATTACATCCCCGGGGGTACAAAATGACCCCAGTGCGTACAGATAGGGTTAAGGCTCTACTCTCGCATTGTGTTATAGTACTTTTTGGTAAGGGGGAAGTCAATTCCTTCAGTGTTAGCAACAAATGTACGGTGAATGTTACAGAAAGCGTAAGCGTGTGTACCAGATCGTGTGTGTGTGTGTGTGTGTGTGTGTGTGTGTGTGTGTGT